ATATAAAATCCATTCAAAGTTCTGCTAAGGTTGCTACTCTTCATGATCAATATTTTCTTACCCCTCAATCAACCCCTGATTCTATTCTTTACCTCTACAAATCTCTTATTTATCTCTGTATTGAATACTGTTATCATATTAGATAACAGTATTCGATAATATTTATTTTTAGACAGAATCCAAATTAGCATTGTAAATTTTAAAAGTTGAAACTGCTGTATCTGCCTAACCTAAACCACTCTCTAAAGATAAATAAATTTGCATCACTTTCTTTTGTCTGCAAATATTGATCTAGTATCACTTCTCAAACAAGCTATCATCTCTAGTTCCATCAATCAAAACTCATTCTTATTTGACTAGCCATTCTGAAACGTTATTTAGCATCTTATTACTATATCTGCCTTTCATGCTCAAATAACATTTATTTATCTCGCACATCAACTTTGGAACTCTTATTGTATTAGAATTGAATTAATTATGAAAAAACTTACAAATTAATTACAAAGATGTGTATAACATTAATTATGTATAAACTTATAAACTATTACCTATTGAATAAGTATCAGAAATAAACCATGTGCAAACTAACCAGACAATTGTTTTGTAATACACCTATCAAATCAAAAATTACAACATAATTAAGTCATAAATAAGAAAAATACAAGATTTCTTGGTGTATTATACTCATACAAAAGTTTATAATATATAATATATATATATATATATATATACATATATGTATATATATATATATATATATATATATATATATATACACAATATATATATATATATATATATATATATATATATATATATATATATATATATATATATATATATATATATATATATATACACAATATATATATATATATATATACAATATATATATATATACAATATATATATATATACAATATATATATATATACAATATATATATATAATTTTCAGCAGTTAAAATATTTGCAACTTTCTGTAATTTAATTTTTTGGTATAAATTGAAGTTTTATTAATTTGATCACTCATTTCTGATGAGTTTTTGTTGATGAAACACAGTGTAAAATGAAAAAAAATTTTGTCAAGTGATTTTCTACTAATTTATAATTGCTCTGTTCTTTTAAGAACATTGAGCACTCTATTTTGTAGAATACATTTTTAAACACATATTAGGGTCCTTATTAACATTTTTTGAGCACTCTCAATTGTATTTTAACATTATATATGGAAACTAATAATTTCACTTACTCGTTGAAAAATATACCTATACTAGATGAAAAAAGTTATACTATTTCTTTGATTGAAAAAGTTGAGCATTTTATAGAAAAATTCGTTGGAAAACCCATTTTTTCTTAAAACCAAATATAAACACAGATGATGTATTTAATAATAACCAAGATAATGATAATTATGGATTTAAAACAAAAAATACCCCGCCTTTTATACCTGATTTGGAAAATTTGGAAAATAAGCTATTGCATTTAATTAAAACAATAAAGGTTTGCCCTATAAAAAATGAATTTCAAACAGAATTAAAGTAAGATGTTAAAAAAATTAAATCAAACCCAAATGTTTTGGTTTTTGCTGATAAAACAAATAACATTTACCAACTCACAACAGAAAACTATGAAAAAATTTTACGCGACTATATTACTAGTTCTTATGAGAAAGCCTCTAAAAATTTGGAAAACGCAATTAATTTAGAAGCCCAAAGTATTGCTAAAAAAAAATAAACCTTGATAACAGAATCGAATATACTGCCCCTGCCCAAGCCTTTGTAACACTAAAAGACCATAAACCAAATTTTCAAAACAAACTTCCTTGTAGGTTATTGGTTCCCTCAAAAAGTGAGATTGGACATGTAAGCAAAATTTAATTGGACAAAACTAATAATATTTTTGGAAATAAATTAAATTTGCAACAGTGGAAAAATACCACTGATGTTATAAATTGGTTCTCCATAATCAAAAATAAAGATGTCATCTTTATTTTTGATTATGGAGAAATTCAAATTTAATTTATTTCTAAAAATATTATTAGTTTTGTCCAATTAAGTTTTATTAATATCAAATTGAATATCAAACTGAATAAATGTAGAATAAAATCAAATTAATATCAAATTGAATAAATGTAATCTGATGATTACATTTATTCAATTTGATATTAATGATTTTTACCCTTCAATAACTGCAGATATTTTAAATAAAACAATTGAATTTGCAAAAAGCCACACAGTTATTCCTGAAAAAACAATCCGTATAATAAAACATTGTAGAAAATCATTACTTCACTTTAATAAGGAAACTTGGAAAAAGAAAAATAAATATATCTGCTTTGATGTAACAATGGGCAGTTATGACGGAGCAGAAATTTGTGAATTTGTTGGACTATACATTTTAGATTTATTAAGTAAAATAATCAATATAAATGATTTAGGCCTTTATCGTGACGATGGTTTAATAGTAATGCGTAAAAAATCTGGTGCACAGCTCGATAAGATTCAAAAAGATATTATAAAAATTTTTTTAAATATTGGCTTTTAAATCGAAATAAACATAAATTTAAAAATTGTGAACTTTCTTGATGTCACATTTAACCTCTCTGAAAATTCATATAAGCCTTTCAAAAAACCGAACAATGAATTTTTGCACACTAATATTAACTCAAATCATCCACCAAAAATCTTAAAACAAATCCCGATTTCATTTAATAACAAGTTAAACCAAAACTCCTCAAATGAAAATGTATTTAATTCCTCCAAATGAATATTTGAAGATGCTTTTAAAAAAAGTGGTTTTGAAAATTTTGAATTAAAATTTGACCCTGAAAAAAAGAATACAAAAAAGTGGAATAGAACTAGAAATGTAATTTGGTTTAACCCCAAATATAGAAAAAGTGTTTCCACTAACAAGGGAAAAGTGTTTTTAAAATTGATTGATAAGCATTTCCCTCCCTCTAATAAATTACATAAAATTTTTAATCGAAATACAATTAAAGTTAGCTACAGTTGCACTAAAAATATGGAAAAAATTAAAAAAAGTCACAATATTGCTTTGTTAAATAAAAAAAAATTCTAAATGAACTACAGAAAATTGTTATTGTAAACAAAAAAATAACTCTCCAATGAGTGAAAGTTGTTTATCAAAAAATGTGGTATATAAATGTGTTGTTTCCTCTAAGAATGTACCCGATAAACAATATGTTGGCATAACAGAGGGTGAATGGAAAAAACGTTTTGCCAATCATAAACAATCTTTAAAAAACAAAAAGTATTCAAAAGACACCATGCTGTTAAAATATATATGGGAACTAAAAGATAAAAATATTGATGATTTTATACTGAATTGGTCCATCCTCAAAACAGCACATTTATATTGTAGCATTTTTTTATTATTTTTCTAAAAATAATTTTTTTATTGATACAGGGTGTGTGACAATATTTTAAGGTAGATTTCCCATATTTTTCCCTGATCCACAATTCTTGGGTACTTAATACAAGGCCAGGGAGGGAGGATGGATAAAATGGTGGGGTGTTATTTCAGTCTTAATTTAATAAATAGTGGGAGGAGGGGTCTGAATAAAAGGGTGAGTAAGAATTTTTTACAGAACACAAACATTTTAATTCTACTATAGCTAGCGGTCAAATGCACATTTTAATAGCTGTTTTAACATAATTCAATAGAATTCCATATGTTAACATAAGTTTCTTACTATGGTGAGAAGTAAATGAAAACCTAATTTTTGACAAATGGATATTTACAAAATTTTTTAGAGGTCAAAGATTTTTAAAGCTAACTCTGAAAGTTTTTATTCTTATCAGTGACTGATATATACCTTTCCTGTTTTGTTTTTTTTTAATTTTAAGATTTTTTTTTGTTGATAACAGTATAAATTAATAAATAATGGGGTGGGGGGAGGGGTCTTTATAAGCATGGGGTGTATAAGTGGGAAAACTTTCTGAAAACTTATAAACTTTCCCTCCTGTGTATTAAGCTCTGAAGAGTACTTTTTTTCCCTGATTTTATTTTAGGTTACCTAAACTTTCATTTATTTTCTAAAGCTTTTGATAAAGTTTGGCATCTCCATAAGCTTTCTTCTTACGGTGTTTCAGGTAACATTTTTAAGATTATTGAATCCTTTCTTTCCAATAGTAGTAAGTTTGTTCTCGATGAACAGCACTCTTCTTCATATCCTGTAACTTCAGACGTTACTCAAGGTTCTATCCTTGGTCATATACTTTTTTTTAATTTGCATTAAAGATCTCCCAGAAGTTCTAAAACCTATTGTGGCATTGTTTGCTGATGATACCACCATTTATTCTCGTCTTGATAAGAAGCCAACACTCTTTGATTGCTTGGAGGGGAAATTTGGGCTTGAAAAGGATCTCACTTCCACTATAGCAGTTAGCTCTCAGTGGATATTGAATTTCAACTCAGATAAATTTCAATTTTTTCAGCTAATCCTTTCCCAATAACCTAGATCTTGCTATATTTATGAACAGTAATGTACTCAACGAGTCATCTACCGTTCATCTTCTAAGATTAACTCTTACTTCCCATCTTTCCTGGAAATCATATATCAAACTTATTGCAAAAATTTGCATCTGCTAAGGTTGCATAACTTTATTGTGCTCGCAACTTTCTTACCCAGGATTCTATTCTGTATCTCTATAAATCTCAAATTTGTCCTAGTATATTTGGAATACTGTTGCCATACCTGGCATGGATCTTCAAATGATGCCTTTTCATTTTTAGACAAAGTGCAAAAACTTCTTCATCTTGTTTTCCTGATTCATATTATTTGCAATCATTTAAGTTGCCTGTTAATTGTTATCTAGCTCTATAAATTTCATCTTATCTCTTCTAGTAACTTCTAACTCTGATAGCGGTTGCTTGCAGCCACTATCAGAGTGAAAGCCATTATAAGATGTTAAAAAAACAAACAAAAAAAACACAACTTTAGAAAAATGAGTCAAATTTTTTTAGAAAAATATTCTTTAAATGTTAAAATATAAATATTACTACAAACCACATTAAAAGTATCAAAAAAAAATCATTAATCTGCATAATAAAGTTTTATATTATGTGCTCAACATTCAAACTAAATTAGTTATGTAAGTTTGATGAAGAGCAATTTACCTGGATTCCACCTAGATTTTTCTAAAATTTAACCCAATTTCCATGATTTTTTAATAGATATCTAAATTCCTTATTTTCACTTGTTTTTTCTGATTTTCTGATTTGATAGACACCCTGCGATAGATTGCCTGCCCTAACCAAAACCCTCATTTGATGTAGCAGCACTCATTGCATATTCTATCTCTTTGTCAGTCAATATAGCAGCACTTCTTAAATTTTAAGGAGTGTTGCTACATCGACTGACAAATAGATAGAACATTTAAGTTAAATGTTTAACCTCTTCGTCAGTCAATGTATATAAACAGTAAAAAAATAAAGATAAAAATATTCAGAATGTTTTTATTTTTATCAAAAAAAAAAAAAAAACATTCCTGTCTAATCTTAAGTTGCATTTTTGTGGTTTTTTAAAAAAACAATAGAATTTAATTGTTTCTATAATTAAATTTTTATTAATTAGATTTTGCTATTTTTAAAGATAAAAGTCATTACTAACAACTCTTTGTCTTTAAATATATATATATATATATATATATATATATATATATATATATATATATATATATATATATATATATATATATATATATATATATATATATATATATATATATATATATGAAATTTTTACAATAGCCATTATAAGATGTTAAAAAAACAAGAAAAAACTTTAAATGTTAAAATATAAATATTACTACAAAGCACATTAAAAGTATCAAAAGAGTTTTATTAAAGTTTTATATTATGTGCTCAACATTCAATCTAAATAAGTTATGTAAGTTTGATGATGAAAAATCAAGGTGGAATCAAGGTAAATTGCTCTTCATCAAACTTACATAACTTATTTAGATTGAATATTGAGCACATAATATAAAACTTTATTATCCAGATTAATGATTTTCTTTTGATACTTACATAACAAATATTACAAAGTTATTAAATTTTTATTTGATAACAGTTTTTCAATTTTTCAATTTTTTTTTCATGGGGGAAGGGGGGGGGGTTCAACACCTCTTTTTTATCACCATGGAAACACCACTATTGGATCACTATCCTTGAAATCTACTAAATAATTTGTATACTTCGTGGTAGTTATACTTGTATATGTGTAGTTAAACTTTTTCAAATAAAAAATTAAATATTTAAGATTAAAACAACTCTAAATATTAGGGTGTGTTATTATTCGTGTACTGTTATAAATTTATAGCAACTTTCTTATACAAAAACTCGCAATTTTTAAAAAAACTCTGACAGAAAACTTTTTTAAGTGGTTACGGTGGTGCTGCAACTTCCCCACTTGTCCCCAGGTAATGCTATTTACCTGGGTAAGCCTAGATACCAAGGAGAGATTTGTATTGAAATTTTAATTTGGTAATTTATAATACAGTAATTAACATTTTATATATATGCTTTTTACATAAAACAAGAAAAAAATGTTTTATATATTTTTTTATAGGTGGGGTGGCAATAAATCAATGTCATTGGGGCCCTTATAAAACTTTCTAAGGAGGTTAAATTATATTTGGCGATGTTATTTAACAGATCTTATGTGAGTTAACAAACCGTTGTTGAACACGGAAGTTTTTTTTAAATTTTAGAAAACCTAGAGACATTTAGAAAACTAAAAGGCCCCGTTGCCTCTAAATTTTCTAAAATTTGAAAAAAAAACTTTCGTTGAAATTTGCTATTTATGTATAAACTTTTAACCATAGTTTTGTATTGTATTCTAGTTTTACTTCAGTTTTAAAATAACTAAAAAAAAACGTTACAAGATAGTGGTTTGGTGCCACCTCTATCTCCCAGGATACGCCCGGCGGTTAGAGTTGAATATAAATTTGTAATCTACAAATTTATGTTTAAACTTGTACTATTAGTAATAGTACTAATTTGTACTATTAGTAATAGTACAAACTTAAACATAAATTTGTAGACTACAAACTTATATTTAACTCTAACCGGGCGTATCCAAGGAAATAGAGGTGGCACCAAACAACTTAGGAACGTTTCTTTTTTAATAATAGTATTACACCAAACTTACTCAAAAAAAAAGACGGAAAAAAGAACGAAGCTCCCTTTTTTAAAATAAAATATATAGAAGAAAAAATAGATAAAAAAGGATATCATCTTTTAACTACATATCTAGCATTCAAGGAAAAGTCAAGTACCGACCGCATGACACTTACAATCATTGCCACTAGATGAATTTAATGATTACTTTTATGGCAGTATTGACAAGCTCTTCATGCATTTTTACACAATTGACTCTCGATATCTTGAATACTTGATATACCAAACTATTTTGGCATAAAAGTTATTTTGGGCTAAAATCCTCTCGATATCTCGAATCTTAATATCTCAAATTTTTTGGTATCTCGAACAATATTTTTAGTCCACAGGACAGTTCTCACGTTATCTCGAATTTTTAAACAATTTATTTCAAGAAACCTTTATAACATTTCTTGAAAAAATTATTTATAATATTTAATTTTTTCAAAATTCCAATTTTTGAAATGTATTGCTTTGAAACTTTTAAAAGTTCGATTTTAAAATTCAATTTTTTTTTTAATGGAATACCTGAAAATTTAGTTTCTTTTTCGTTTTTCATTTTTATCGGCTGATTTTTTTAGTTAAATTAACGGGGCTGGATGATCAGACCTTGTCTTCTGCCAGCTCCGGTTGAAACTTTAATGTTATATTTTTATGTTGTAAAAACATTGTAAAAGACTATTTTATAATGACGAAAATATATATTAAAAAAAAAAAAATAATAAAAAATCTTTAATAGAAAAATGTAAGGCATCAAAAGATTTAGAGAAAGATTGCCCAAAAGTATGGTGTCTCAAAGAACACAATATCAAAAAGGATTTTGATATTGCGTTACATAAAAAAAAAATCAAATTATTAAGCTTGCTGGAAAAAAATGACACAAAATCTAAACGGAAGAAATTTCGTAGTAGTATTTTCGAAAATGTAGACTATGCCATATTTACGTGGTTCGTCGCAAAAAGACGTCAGCAAGTACCAGTTGATTTTGACTAAAAGAAAAGGAACTAAAGTTCTCAGAAGCATTGGGAGAGTTTGGTTTTGAAGCACCTGGTTGTTGGTTACATAATTGGAAGAAAGGTTTTATCAAATCTTGTTCAACTTAAATATAAACACATGCAGATGTACCAGCATTTTTCAAACATGTGATTAAAATTCAATCATTCTGTTAATATTTTTATGAATGGCATTAGCTTTAAAGTAATCCAGATAAAAGTGTCTCCATGACGAAGAAATGACTGCTTCGTGGAATGAAACTACACTTTTAACATTGATTTCGAATTAAAAACTTAAAAAATATTCAATGCCAATGAGTTTTGACTATTTTACCCGTGTATACCAAACAAAACGTACCATCTATAACGAGAAAAATGTTTCACAGGAAAAATAAAAAAGCCATACTAACTGGCATAGCAGCATGCCGGTTCACATGCTGCTAATGCTGAAATAATTTTAACGTCGAAGCCCCGCTACGCTCATCTGATGTCCAATGACAAGATGCTTTTAAAACGCTTCTAAATGCTCCGCAATACTGCTCAAAATACGGAAATGAAATACCCTAAATAGCAAATAGTATACATTGTGTAAACTATATAAAAAATATTGCTCTAAAAAGATAATTTAAATTAATGTCATAACAGATTTTTTCCAAAAATTGTAGTTTTTATTGTGAGAGATTTTTGTCTGAAAAATGACTTTTTTTATTAAAAGTTATGCAATTTTACTTATTTTTAACCCTTTTCTCGATATCTTGAACTCTCGATATCTTGAACTTTTTTCCTGGTCCCCATAGTGTTTGAGTAACTTTCAAAAATCTCAACTGAAACAAATGCATAATTGTAGAGGATTTTGATAAAAATGATCAATAATAAAGTTCATAGATATCACTGAAACAAAATGTTCACCTTTTACAATTGTTTTATAAAGTGCAATTTTTACAATTGTTTTAGAAAGAAAACATTTTTCAAGCAAAAATTTTGTTAACTTTCAGTCGTTGACACAAGGTTTTTTTACAAAGTTAAAGATATATCTTGATGTATAGTCAAAAATACAAAAAAATAGGCTAACATACACAAAAATTTAATAAGATTGAATTTAGTACAATGGTAAAGGTAGTTTTATCTAGCTTTTGTTGACCTCACTTTTTGGTAACTTTGTCAAAATTCAACAGAAAAAAACAGATAATCTGCTACGAGTCGATAAATTGCAATAACTCGCTGAAAAATGAAATTTCTCCAAACGTTTGAAGTAAAAAGTAACAGTGAAAAATGCTGACATCATCATTTTTATAACTTGAAACTATAATATGCGCAAAATGCATAGAGTACTTTATGTAAACAACTTACTTTGCGCAATAATCGTCAACTGATAATCAAAAATTTTATTCCCTTCTATGGAGTATGGTAGATTAACTGCGTACAAAATGGTTTATCGGTGCAAGGTGATATTAAAGGATATTAGACATATTTGAGTCTTCTTTTTTTTTTTTGCTAAAGTTTTTTATATGTCCAAAGAATCCCTTTGTATTTTATATTTACTTTTATTATAAATCTTAGTTAAATAGTTGCTAATACTAAATTTTATTTAACACAATTTATAAAACTTTAAAAACGCGGATTTTTAACTTTTTAATTTCAAATCCTATAACTTCTTAAAATCGTGGAATTGAATAATAAACTCTTCTGGTGGAACAAACTTAAAAAAAAAAAAAAATGATGCAACAAACTTTAAAAATAAAAATGCGCATGTACTTCAGAAAAAATGAAAATTTATCACTAAATTGAAACTCTATTATCGATATTATTATATCATAGATTTGAAATGTATAAAAACGTATAGAAAATATAAATAAATATATAGATTGAAAGCTCTTTTATTGATATTATTACATTTTTTATATGTCCACGACGTTTTGAATTAGTCTGTAGATTATTTATCATATCTATTTATAATACTGTATTTTTTTTATTTTTAATCTATTGGTCGCACATTATGGACGAATAATATTACAGCGTTTTTATTATTATAAAGTCTACTGAGTTTTAAAAGAACTTTGCAAATAATCAACAGCACTCTTCATTCGTCACAATTTTCATTTTAACTTACCTGTTTGTAAACACTATATCTTGTAGTACCATCAAAAACCAGACTTGCATCTAAACGTAAGTTTAGTTAATTCCTTAGCATTGTGATTTGCACAGTAGTTTATATAATCCATAGCTTTTTAAGAGTGTGTTTCAGAAGATCTTTAAGCGATATTTGTACTGAATATTCACCTATTATAATGTTCTTGGCATAACATTTAGCTTTTGAAGATCTTATACCATCATATAAACAATATATGTGGCACCCAGTTTTTTTCAGCACCATTTCTTAGAAGCTGGTATGATGATTTTGATATATCACCATTAATATTTAATACTAAAGTTTCATCAGGTGAATATATTTAAGCAGATTTAGTGGGGTTTTTATTTCAGAAATTTGTGTGCCAGTTTTGTACTTAAACTCACTTCTTAGTTTCAATTTTGTTACATAAAGTAGTTTATGGCTAAATAAAATATTAAAAACATTGTTAAGTTTATTCTTTTTATTCTGTTACAAGCTTTTTCAAAAGAGTAACATAGTTTCTCAACTTCATTAACTGATGATAATCCATTTAATGTACCGTAGATGTATTAAAAATCTTGAGCTAGTCGATTTTCATTACTTCTTTCAAAATGAGTATTATCTTTGTTTGCAGCTACCAACTTTTTACATTACACTTTTATAAAGTTTTTCACTCAGGATACTCTAATTTAATATCTGCAGAAATCTTAACAGTTAATTTCGATGAAAAGAATAGTATATCACTAGGAACTATTTTATTTCGTCGTATAAGTCCGTAAATGTCATCAATTTTTATATTATTACTAAAAAAAAAAAAATTAGGTAAACAGAGTAACTTATATTGAATAAAATAACAAACAAAATAACATGTATTTTGTTTAGGAGAAATGAAAGTTGATTTCAAGCAAATAACATAAGTTACAAGTCATTATTTTAAAATCTTAAAGAAACCTAAAAAGGGAAGTTAGGGGCAATGTATACAGTTCAAATAGGTAGTATACATATTACATTTACTAGTTCAAGTATTTAATATAGGTTCTTTTAGGTTCCCTAAATTATGTGACACTTTTTTTACAAAATAAAAATATTAAATGTTGAAAATTTACCTCGTTATTTTAAAGCCAGATTATAAGTGTATTAAAAAGACTGATTTTTGCTTTATATTTTTTTCGTAAAGCTTTACTGTTAAATAGTTTAAATCAGGGGTGTGGAGTCGTAAAAAAAAAAGTAACGACTCCGACTCCGACTCCGATTCTAGTTGTTGAAATTTTTGAGCACAACTCCGAATCCGACTCCAACTGCAAATCAAAATTTTTGAAAAATTCTTTGAATTCTTTAAAATATATTACGCGATAAGTTAAAAATTTTTGACAAGTTTATGAAACGTTCTTTGAGGTTTAGTATGAGCATAAGGCTAATTGAATGTTTTGTACATGCACGTGCAATACCGAAAAGTTTTATTATTGGAGTCGGAGTCGCAATTTTGTTTTGCGACTCCGACTCCGCTAAAAATGTCGCAACTCCGACTCCAACTCCGACTCCACAGCCCTGGTTAAAATACATAAACTAATTCCGTAAGCTCGTAAAATTTTAAAAGTTACTCTTTGCTAGAGCTATGCATAAAAAAAAAATTTAACGCTTTTTGAAAAAAAAATTTTTTTTTCATTATTTATGAAACCGCAACTGATTTTTGAGAAATTTAAAAATACTAATATACTCAAAACAATTTTCAAAACTTTAAATGAGAGTATTACAAATATGTTTTATTATATGGTTTTGAATATTTATTTTTTAGTTTTTGTCCACCACCTGGCTCACTGTGCAGTGACAGAAAACATTATAAAGCTCTGCTAAATTTATTAAATTATTGCTTATAAATAGTCAATTCGAGTGTATGCTTTCATACTAGGATAATTTTCGAATCATTAAAGTGGAACACAAGGAACACTTATCTCTATATCATAGCTGTAGCAACCAAGTTTTTTACGCATTACTTATTAGCTTGATGGTTCTGATTGAACATAAAAATAACAGCCTGTGAGCCGGACACTAATGT